ATTTTTCAGTTTGGACAAGTTATTTAACCTATCTGCCTCCCTGCTTGAAAATGAAGGTAGGAAGTTATTATTATTATTATTATTATTATTATTATTATTATTATTATTAGCTCAGGAGACTGAGGTAAAAATGAAATAGTATTTGTGACATGCATTGCATAGTACCTGGAACACAGTAGGTATTGAGAAAACAAATCCTTTTTACATGCTTTTCTGGGATTAGCACATGCAAAATGAGAATAACATATTCATAGTTTTAGGGCTGTTATGAAATCCAGTGAAACAACAGATAGAAACGTTTCATAAGAAGTATCTTGGGAGGCAGTATTCTGCTCTTATGTACTGAGGTATCCTGTTTATTTATCTCTTCATTTTCAAATTAGACTGTTATTGGTATGACACACCTTTTTTGTCTCCAGATTCTGAAAACTAAGTTTCAATGGACCCTGTCCTCTATGGGGTCAAACAGTTTTAAGGTCTCTGAAGTCATTAATCCTTGAGTTGGGGAGGCTCTAAGAGTGACACTGTTCTCAGAACCAATTAAAGAGTGAAACTTTTCCTTGTATCCTGAACAGATGACATTTTAGGATGCTCAAAGTTACTAAAAATAGCCCTTTCAAAAAGCAACTCCTTGAAGCAGCTGAGAGAAACGGAAACCTAGATCCTTTGCAGACTTGTGCCCCAGCAGGCTTTTTTTGCATTACAAATGCCTGGCTCCTGAAGAAGGCAGAGCTTAACCTACATTGTCCTCTCTGACCTTGAGCCAACTTCTCCATGGCTGAAGATTCCCTGCTGTAGTAAGAAGACTTGGTAAATGATGCAGAGGCCAGTAACCAACATAAGCAACCAAATGTGTATGTTTTTTAATTAAAAAAGGGAAGAAACCTGGTCACACGAAAATAGCCATATCAGTACAACAACTCAGGTCTTCTAACTTCCAGTTTAGGCCTTCTGTCATAATACATTTACAATGTCCTCTCTCTAGGATGTTGTGGATTTTAAAGTAAATTGTCTGCAGTTCAAGTGTCATAGTTTAGAAGTATGCTGATATTCTAAAACATAAAAAAGTGGGGAAAACCAAGTTAAATGAGGACTGATTTTATTTTAAAACTTAACCAATACTTCATCTATGCAAGGAGCTTGAGACTCCTCCAGTTTTTCAGATTCCAGTTTCTTCCTGTCTACATTCCCTTCCTTCTCTAGTCTAGCTGCTGCAGACTAGCATATCCATCTCAAACTGGCCAAATTCCTAAATATATGCAGTGGTTAAGAGTATATGTGGCCTTGGTGGCAGAATATCTGAATTTGAGACTTTGGACTAGTTACCTAACTTCTTCAAGATTTTGTTTTTCTACTTGGAAAATGGGAAAAATAGTATGGAATTGTTGTATAAAAGATGATGAATATTATGAGAAAATACCCCAGTACTGGGGAGGAGAGGAATGACACATTGGTGGCCTCCACCCTCCAGTGGGGCTCCAGTGGTACAACTACAGGCTAGTTATCTTTCAGCAGGAAGTACCCCTTGGAACTTCCTCTCTACTTAAGAACCCTTCTCAGCTCTGTCTCAGCAAACTAAAAAAAGAAAAACTCCCCACATGCTATCAAACTATTTATACCAAGAACAACCATCTGTAACATTCCATAATCTCAGAGGAACAGTTAGTTACCTTCATCTTGTGTGAGGCATCCCACCTCCACCCTGACACTCCTCAAAACAGAGAACTGAATCTGGATTTTTCACCCCTACTTCAGCCTTTATGGGGGGCCTGGCTCCATCTGACTCGCCATCTCCTGCATCTCTGACCCATCATCTCCACTGTTCTTCCCTTACGTACTTACTGAATCATGCTTATAAACTAAAAATTCTACCATTAGTCACATTCCCTTCTACCAAATGTCTTCTTGCTCTCTTCCCCTGGTAGTGAATCGTCTCATAGGAGGGGTCAGTAACTGATAAATCTATTTATTTAATCCCTTATTCAATGCAGTCTGATTTCCAGCCTCACCACTTTCCTGACACTGTCATCCTCCTGACCATAAAGCAATTGGATATCCTGCAACAACTACATTTTGTTTTTTAGACGGGATATTTTACAAAGTGAACTCACAGGTTCAACAGCACTTAGACAGAATTACCTGATAATCAAAATTACTAGTTTTTAAAATGTTATATGTCATCAAGTTGGAACCAACTCATAGCTGACGCTCCAGTGGGTTTTCAAAGGCTGTAAATCACACCAAAGGAGACTGCCCATCTTTCTGCCATGGAGCACCTTGTGGATTTGAACAACCTGCCTCTGGACTGAACCTTATCACTAAGTCACTAGAGCTCTATATCACCCATGACAAGAATGATTTTTAACTCTTCTAAGTACTACAGAGGGACTCCACACATGAAAGAACCTTCAAGTCTTAAAAAGAAGTAAAAATTTAAGGACAAAATTGACATTTGCAGCATTTAGATTGAATTATCTGATTACTGAAACCACAACAGTTTTTCCAATGTTGCTGTTAAGTGCTGTTGAGTTGGAACCAACTGACAGCTGACCTTCCAATTGGTTTTCAGGGACTGTATCACATGGGACTATATCCTCATGGAGTAGCTGGTGGATCTGAACTGCATGCCTTTTAGTTGGCAGCACAACTCCAAACCACTAAGTCATTAGAGTGCCTTAAAACAGAATTTATTAAACTGATCAAATATTTAATCAGAGAGAACTTCTGTAGCTTTTATTGTTTATGTCTCCTTGTATATATTTTTTAGAAATAAATATTTCCTTGATTAAAAATAAACCAGCACTGCTGAGATGACATTATAGATTTTGGGCTCAAGTATCACTGCTCCTCTCAAAAGCTCTTTGAGGGTTGTAACTACAGTGTCCTCAACTTTGAATCAACTGTAATGTCTTTCAGAATACCCTGGGCACAGCAGGGTCAAAAGAAACGTCTGTGGAAGAACACATCCGTTAGTTCTTCAGAGGGTTCTCTCACCTGTTTGCCAAAAAACCAAACTAAAGCTCTTTTCTCCTAAAAAAGAGGGGCTGTCTAATAATTTCACAGTGTGAATGGATATACACAATGTACATTCTAATACCTAGATTACCCATTGCTTTTGAGTTGATTCTGACCCTCCACTGGGTTTTCAAACACTTATGGGAAGAGACTGCCCATTTTTCTCCTACGGGGCAGGAACATTTCAAGCCTCAAGGCAGCTAGTATATTTGAACAACTGACCTTTAAGTTAGCAGCCTTGACACACTATACACTAAAAAGAGATCAAAAGGTCAGGTGACTGTGAGATTGCTGGTCTTATTTTTACTTCCTTTAAATGGCTCATTACAAAGGAATCAGCAGTAGAATGAGTTCTAGATTAATACGGAAAATAATGAGACTGAACACTTATCCTCCAAAGGTACTAGTCCACTTGCTACTGCTTATTAACTCAGTAAACAGGACAAAACACTGCTCTTCTGAGGATCTCCTCTATCAAGAGGAATGTTCATTGAATTGGAAGATCTCTAAGGTCTTTTCAAGCTTTCTATAACACTCAATAAGAAAATAAAGGGTATCAATAGGACATTCAAGACCTTTCTTTGTAAATCTGTAGCTCAGGATTATCTACACCCCTTTACATTCTATGATTGGGACCATTCTCACTATTTCTAGGTTCCCAATGGTGTCATGGGAGCTCTGGTGGCCCGGTTCTTAGTAAGGAGCTAGGTTGTTAGCCCAAATGTCACACCCCTCTGGGAGTTCCAAGATTCACAGCCTTGGAAATCCAACCAAGGGTCAGTTATGAGCCAGATCAACTGCAATGATGGTGAGGAGGGAGATGGGAGAGAGGGAGAGACAGAGAGAGTAATGTTATTTTCTCACACCTCCATTTCTCTGTCCCTCCTTTGTGTGCTTAAAACAGTGCCAACTTTTCCCTCAAGTCTCTAGGCCATCAGTGATGTTTCTCCTACATTTTCACCCTCAGGCAGAGAGTTAATTAATTCTTATTATGTATGTATGTATGTGTATATATGTATATATATATATATAGAGAGAGAGAGAGAGAGAGAGAGAGTTACAAAATATGCTACATTGTATTGCAATGAACTTGTTCATAATATCTAGGCTCTCAAGTAGACTGCCAACTCCTTCAGGCAAAGATGGGATCCTTTCATTTTCCTATCCTAGTGTGGAGGGCATTCAACAAACAAAAAGAAACTAACACAAAACCATATACAACCTGAAAGTAAGGAGTTATATTCTTCAGAGAGGTGAGGTGACTTGACAAAGGCCTCAGAACTAGTGAGGTGAGTAATTAGGATTCAAACCCAGGACTCTGATTTTCTAACTGTAGAACACATCTTTCTTTTCTTTTTAAAACTCTAAACTCCTTGAGTTTCAAAGCAATGCTGAGTGTGAAGGGATTAAGACCAGTGGTTAAGATCTCACACCACTACACTTGTCAAATCAGAACAAATTTCGCAAGGTTTTCAAATCTGTTCTGCTTTTATTCAAGGAGTGTTGGGCCATTTATCATTTTTAAAAAACAAGAAGCTCATCTCAGCTTAAAAAAACAAAACAAAATACTTCTTCACCCTCTGATGGCAAGTCTCTCACCACTTCCAAATCTATGCCCAGAAAGCCTACTCTGTTTGCATGTGAGGGGGGGGGGGGGGCGGGAGCGGGGTGGTGTATCATGCCAGTCTTATGGAAACAGAATAAACTTGAGCAATGATTGAGCAGAAAAGGCTCTGTGACTAGGTTTCATGTCTTAGACATTCTAGCAGAAGTAATGTGGGTTATCCTAAAATCTCAAGGAGTATTCCCATCCTCACCCTAAGGCTGATCTGAGCAAGTCCCCGAGGAGGTCACCCAGAAGAATCAGGGCTGGACAGGCTGAGCTCGGATCAATCAAGGGAAGGGCAAAGCTGGCAGGTGTGTTTGCTTTCCCAAATAAAGTCCTATATCCAGCCTACTTATCACTGCTCCCACATTCTCCTTACCTGGAGCATAACTGGGGCTATTGGTAGGGTAGAGGCTGGGGTTGTAGGCAGGTGCTGCTGCCGGGTAGGCTGTAGGGTAACCTGTAAAGAGACAAGAAAAATCTGGGTTAAGTGGACAAAAATGAAAATTTCAGAGGAAACAAAACCCAAGCACCAGGATTTGTCTTCAGTCTCTTCATAGACCATTTCAGACAAATCTAGCTTTTAAATTCTTGGAAGAAAAGCCACCAATGCTACAGTCCCAACATATGCAAATGTTTTTTGCCTCTTTAAGAAATATACAGACACAAATTTCTTAAAGAGAATTCAAACAATATACAAGCTTAAGTTATTTTTTAAAGGTCATTCATTCAATAAATATCTGAAAATCTACTATGTGCCAGACACTATTTTACAGACTTACAGCAGTGAAGACAAAAATAAAAATTCCTACTTTTCTGGAGCGTGCACTCCAGGGAGTGGAGGAAGGAAAATACTAAATATGAACATAAGTGCTATCAAGAAGAGGAAAAAGGGCAGGCAAAGCGCATTAAAAGTGCCAGAAGTTGGAGCAGGGGTGAGGTAGGAGTGGTGGTGCAGGAAGAAGGGCATTGCAATATTAAATAGGGTGGTCAGGATCAGACACACTAAGAAGGTATCTTCTTCTTGTTAGGTGTCATCGAGTTGAGTATGGCTCATAGTTACCCTTTGAACAACAGATCTGAACACTGTCCTATCCTGTGCCATCCTCAACATCTCTGACATACTTGAGTCCAGTGTGCAGTCAGTGTGTCAATCCACCCTGTTAAAGGTCTTTCTTCTTTTGCTGCCCTTTACACATTTCCAAGCATGATGTCCCTTTCCAAGGAAAAGAAAAAACTTTGAGAGAATGCTATCATTATCAAAGCAAGTAGCTGAGGGAAGAACATTTAAAACTAGGAAAATAGTGCAACTTCCCCCTGCCCAGCCTCAATTTGAATGTGTGAAGAATAGCAAAGGGGACAGTATGCCATGAGGCAGGAGAGGAGCAAACAAGGAAAATCGTGATAGTAGTAGAAGAATCAAAGGAATAAAGAACTAGTCAGTTCATGGAGGGCTTTAAAGGCTATTATTGTAAGAACTCTGGCTTTTACTCAGAATGAAATCAGAGGCCATCACAAGGTTCTGAGCGGAAAAATAACATCAGCATGATCTGAGTTCTATTTGTAGAGGGTCAGTCTAATGGCTGCGCTGAAAACAGATCAGAGGGCAAAAACAGAAAATAAAGACCAGTTAAGTTACTACAAATTTGTAAAGACAGGGAGTGTTCAGGATCAGTGCACTAGCAGGGAAGAAGACAAAAATGACAAGCTGAGTATTTTTACATACTTTCTATCCTGTTTTCTAGAAACACTGTATCAATTTGTACTTCCACTAGCAGTGTGAAAGTGCCTGTCACTGCTTCCTGCAGTTTTTAATGCTTATTGGTATTTTTGACTGACAATGGAAATCTGGTTTTAAAAGTCAAAGATTAAGTTCTTAAATCCCTAAAAGCTTCTTTAGGATTTGTAAATATTGGAGCTTTAATAATGTATCTTTGTTAATATGCCTTTCCCTAAGTCTTTCCATCTCCAAAGAAATGCCATCTCTTTTTACCCTAAATAATGTTTTGGTGTTTTGTTTTTTTTTTTTAAATTAGAGAATAGAGGTAACTAAGTTGTTCCCATCTAATTATTAATACAGAGGTCTGCTATTTCTTGGGTATGTTGTTTGTTGTTGTTATGTGCCGTCAAATCGCCTGTGACTCATAGCGACCCTTTGTACAACAGCCCTAAACCCTGCTCTGTCCTGTGCCAATCTCACTGTCTTCGACACACTTACCCACATCACCCCAGTCACCGAATCAATCCATCTCATAGAGGGTCTTCCTCTCCCATGCTGTCTCTCCACCCTCTCAAGCATGATGTCCCTCTCCAAGGACTGATCCCTCCTTGCAATATGTCCAAAGTATGTCAAACGAAGCTTCAGAAACCTTGCCTCCAAGAAGCAGCCTGGTTTAATCCTCTCCAGAATGAACTTGTTTGTATTCTTAGCAATTCATGGTATATTGAAGGCTACAGTCCTTGATCTTCTGCAGAAAGCACTTCAGGTCCTCCTAAGTCTCAGCAAGCAGGGTTGTGTCATCTGCATAATGCAGACTGTTGATGAATCTTCTACCAATCTTGATGCCACACTTCTCATACAGCCCAGCCTCCTGGATAATCTGTTCTGCATATAGGTTGAAAAAGTATGGAGATAGGACACATCCCTGGTGTACACCCTTCCCAATTTTGAACCATGCAGTGTTTCCTTGCTCTGTTCTGATGACGGCCTCCTGGTCCAAGTATTGGTTTCGCATTAGCACAATCAAGTGTTCTGGGATTCCCATTCTTCTCAGAGTCAGCCAGTTTGTTGTGATCCACAGAGTCAAATACCTTTGCATAATCAGTGAAACACAGATAGACATTCCTCTGGTATTCCCTGCTTTCAGCCAAGATCCATCTAACATTAGTTACAATATCCCTAGTACCACGACCCCTTCTAAACCCAGCCTGGACTTCTGGCAGTTTTCTGTTGATGTGCTCTTCTTAAAGTTAGGTTTAATCTGAGAAATTATATGTTCCAGTCTCATGGCTGAAATCTGTATTCAGCCTCATGTGAAAGATTGTACAGACACAGATAATTATATCTTTGTTCTGTCTTTTCATAGCCTTTTACTGTAGGGACAATCTTCTGTCAACGTTACCGTTTCCCTGAATTTGGCATATTATGATCCTTACTCATGACAAACACATGTTCTATAGGCTTTTCAAGGCTATGATCTATGATTTGAGAAGTAAGTTGTTGGGCCTGTCTTCTATGTTGTCTGTGAGTGGGTTCAAAGTACTTAACAGAATAGACTATGTGACTTAGTTCCCCTTATAGGTCATACTAACACTTGCTATTTTGTGTCTATTCCGTGCTCTAACAGTGTCTTACCAGCACACTCCATAGAACTACAGGTAGACTCTGCCTCATCCACCTGAACAGAGTTGCCTTCCAGCTCTTGTTCTTTCAAAGCTGCCTAGATCTGCTAAGCCTCATCGGAAGTAAAGTATATTGGGTTGTACATGCACACAGGGTCACTATTAGTCATAGGCACATAACAACTACAACAATGCCACCCATTACTCTTACAAAAGTTTTTTTTTCATACCCTTTTTCATATAAGGAGCTCTGGTGGCACAGCAGCCTATAGAGAGTTGTGCTGCTAACCGATAGGCTGTGCTTCTCTGGTGGTTCAAATCCACAAGCAGCTCTGCAGGAGAAAGATGGACGATCTCCTCTAGTGTGAATTAACAGCCTCAGAACCCCAATGGAGAATCAGCTATAAGTTAGTTCTGACTTGATGGCAATGAGAGACAGATTTCATCTGAACCTCAAAACAACCCTAACCTTATTTCCCCCACTCTATTTGTGGAAAAGGAAACAGAAACTCAGAGGTGAAGTAACTTTTTTGACTAAAATAATCAGGAGGTCAGTAGGGAAGCTGGGACTGGAATCCCCAAAGTAATGTGGGGTTTTTTGACACCTCACAAATATCTGTGGTTTGGCTTTTGGAAGTAAGACTTTTTTACATCTGCTATGATCTGAAGGTCAGAAATGAAGAGACTTAATGAGTAGAATGAGTTTTTCTTCTTGGGATCTCAAAAATTATTGTCATAATGTGGTTTCTTGGGATTGTGATGCGCATATTTTAGTTTCTTCCTATCAACATAATTTAATACTCTTTTCTTGCTGTTAATAGAATTAGGGCTGAAGAGATATAAAGCTAGCTTTGTTTTATTAATTAAAACAAAATTAGAAACTAGAAATTACTTTCAAAAGAAATCAGGGGTCTACTGTTGAAACTTGCTAAAACTGAGGAGGACTTGAAATGCTTGTTGTAGGTGGTCAAGGACTGTAGTCTTCAATATGGATTGAAACTCAATATCAAGAAGACAAAGATTCTCACCACTGGGCCTACTGGAAGCACCATGATGGATGGAGAAGAGATACTGAGAAGCAATGATATCAGTCTAGAGACTAAAGTGCGCCTGATCTAGGCCATGGTCTTTGTAATTATTTGATACCAATCAGAAAGCTCTACAATGACTAAGGATGACAGAAGAAGAACTGATGTCTTTGAATTGTGGTGGAGAAGAGTCTTAAACATATCATGGACCGCCAAGAAAACAAATAGGTTTTTCCTGAAGAGGGTGAAACCAAGTTTCTCTTTGGAGGCTAAGATTCTGAAGCTCCGTCTCACATACTCTAGGCTTGTGACCTGGAGGGACCAATCCTTGAAGGATGTCATGCTCAGAAGGGTGGAGGTTCAGTGCAGGAGAGGAAGACCCTGGATGAGACAGAGTGATACAGTAACAAGGGCAAAGTGGGTAGGTGTGTCAGAGTCCATGAGACTGCCTCAGGACAGTACAGGCTTCTGAGCTATTGTATGTAAGGTCGCTATGAGTCGCAGGTGACTCAACGGCACTTAACAACAACTCTCTGTATTCCCTCTAACCTCCTTTGATGCTTCTACATATGATTTTTCCTGTAGCATCTCAGTATTGCAACTCAAGGTTTAAATTCAGTTTTCAGTTCTTTCAGCTTGAGAAATGCTAAGCATGTTCTCGCTTTTTATTCTCCAAATCCAGCTCTCTGCATATTCTGTTATAATGCTTTGCTTTGTCATCTCAAACTGTCCTTTGAAATCTTCTGCTCAGCTTTTTTACTCCAGCATCTATTCCCTTTGTTTCAGCTTCCTGATGCTCTAGTGCAATTTTCAGAGACTCTTCTGACATCCATTTTGGTTTTTTCTTTCCCCTCTGCCTTTCCAATGACCTTTGCCCTCTTTATGGATATCCTAAATGTCATCCCACAACTCATCTGGGCTTCAATAATTCATGTTCAATGCCTCAAACTTATTCTTATGCTGATTTTTTAAATTCATGTGAGATCAACTCAAGGTCATACTTAGGTTCTTTTGGACTTGCTTTCATTTTCTTCAGCCTCAATTTCAACTTGTACATGAGTAATTGATGGTCTGCTCCACAATCAGCATC